CAGGGAGCCCGATGTGGGACTCGATCCCGGGACTCCAGGATCATGACCTGAGCTGAAGGCAGTCGCTTAACCAACTGAGCCACCCAGGCGCCCCATATCCTCATTTTATAAATGAGTGAACTGAGGCCCAGAGAAGCTGATTAACTTGACCAGAGTCACACAGTCAATAAGAGGCACAGCTGGGAGTTGAACCCAGGACTATCCAACCCCAAGTCTGTGCTCTTTCCTCTATAAGAGGCCACTCCTGGTGAGCAAAAGGCACAGGACAAGACAGCTGCCTGTCCCCGGAGCCTGTCACTTCTCCCTAGGTCCTCCTGCTGGGACTGAGGGGAGGAGGGCAAGAGGGCACTCACAGGGTCTGGATGGCCCGCAGGGAGGTGAAGGTGCCCTTGGCGAGGCTCTGGATCTTGTTGTCATACAGGGAGAGAAGTGAGAGGTTCTGCAGATCCTGGAAGGCATCGGGCCGGACACAGTTGATCTTGTTGGCGTTCAAGAGCCTGTGGGCAGACCAGGGCTGGGTGGTGAGGGCAGAGGTGCAGAATCGGCCGTGTCAACATGCCCTGGGCACCTCCCTGGCACCAAGCGTGCATTGTCTCAGGGAGAAGTGCACAGGAGCTGGCGCGGCGAGTCCGGTCCTCTGGCTGTCCACTGCACGCAGGAAGCCGAGACCTCCGACTGCCCTCTCTGTGCAAGGGACCGTCCTGCTCCACCGGCTCCTCTCGCTCTCAAGGACCTGCTACAAGTGCTCACAGGGTTCTTGGGAAGCAGAGAGCACAGTGGTCAGGCCACCTCCCAAAGGCATTTTGGAGGCTCCCCTCCTTTCCAGAGTCTGCCGGGTTGCCAGGCACCTGAGATGGAGCGTTTGCGTTCTGCGCCCCTTGGATCCTGGGAGAGCACCCCTGCCTGAACTCTCATGCTTCAGGGAGGCTGAGCTGGGTCCAAGTGTCCCCCCATAGGAGACAACCCTGTCCCCAGCCACCCTGACCCCCTCGGGAACACAAGCTGCATCTCGGGAGCCTCTCAGCTCAAGCGTCCCGCGATCTGCTCTGAACCTGACCCCCCTCCCTCCCTCCCTGGCCTCAAAAGAACCCCAGGGTCCCTCGCAGCACCCCCAGCTCTGCCATTGTCCAAGCTCCTTGCCTCATTGAGTCCTGTACCCCAAAGAGGCTGGCAAGGCTAGTCTGAGAGGCCAGAGGAATACTAGCCCCCTCCCTGGGCACCACCCAAGGACACCCGCAGACGGGTCCTTACAGGAGCTGTAGGGTGTACAGGCCTCCAAACACACCCCGGGGGAGGTCTGTGATCTTGTTCCCATACAGGACCCTGGAGACAAAAGGCAGCAGAAAGAGAAAGTAAGAGGAGAGCCTACCAGGTGGGAAACGACTTTGCAAGTCGCACCCACACAACGGCACCCCCTCTAAACCATTCATAGAGCACAGCACGGTGGTGTAGGTTTGTTGTAACAAGCTGCCAGCAGGTGGCAGTAAAGTGTATTAAGATAGGGTCCTCCGTTTGTAGTTTGCAATGGGCTAGAGGCAGCCGTGATCCCCACTACTGCAGAGCAGGCCCCCAATACCTGCTCTCTGCCTCATGCATGGAACCCACAGAAGCCTGCAAAGGGGCCCTCTCTTTGGGGAACTTCATAGGAAATTAAGCTGGCCCCGGATGTAAAATGAGACTGTTCAAAGAGGAGAAAATCCCATGGGTAGGATAATTAACATATTTTCAGAGAATTACAAGAAAAAAACAAGAATGCTAAACGGCATGCACGGAATGAGCTCTGACGTCAAGCAACAGATAACACACCAGAAAGAAACAGATCAAAATTTAGCTGTGCGGAGGTCTAGGCGGTGGGGGTACAAGTGGGTTTCTTCACCTTAGTTCCCTCTGCGTTGGGCAGGAATTCCATGTATGAGTAGGGAAGAAGCAAAGGTTCCAAAAAGCCATGCAGGAATGGGTTCAGGCAGAGGGAGAAGTATCAACAGGGCTTGGGGACAGGGTATACTCCATTCCCAATATTGCAAGCAGCCCCCACGAGCCACCCCGGAAACAACTCAGCCTGTGTAAAAACAGTATGTACTTCAAGATCCTTTCTGGAGGAGGACATGGCAGAAGCAAAGGCTCTGCAGTGGGATCCAGGTTAGCCCATGCGAATTCAGTGTGGTTTGAATAGAGGAAACAAATGGAATAATAGCTTGGATTTTACCCAGTGAGCACCAGGAAGCCTCTGAGACAGGATCAGATTTGCATTTGGAAAGATCAGAGTGGAGGGGGCAGGGGCTGAAGCAGGGACACCAGGTCAGGCTCTGCCAAGGTGGACACTGTCAGCGAGGTCTATTAGCATGACATCAGCACAAAAGTTCCCTATAGTGGGGAGATGGCTTTGACTAGGTATCCATGAGCAATAGGAACCCACATTTTAAATGGGCTATTGTCATGTACCAATTTAGAAAGAGTTTCATTCACTTTTCAAATGAAGAGCCCTGCATTTTGGCAGGCCACCTCCAGAATCTGATCTCCTCAGCCAATGACAGAGACTCATCACCAGGCTGTCAGGTACAGCTGTGCAGGTTGTACACTGCACAACTTAAGGGGTGCCATTCACAATTGGTCCCACCCACTACCTCACACTCCACTCCAAGAGAAGAGGGTGTACACAGAGGCACTGAGCTGGCAGCCTCCTACACTCCCCAAGGGGGAGTTCCATCCTATTTCACTTCCCAGGCCCCTAATCTATGCAAGGCACGTGTTCAGTGCTGCCAATGATAAGCAAAAACACGCACTCTTCAGAGCAACTACAGGATGCCCTGAGTGCACTCTTGTATAGACAGGTGCTTTGGGACCTCAGACAGTGAGGGGCTTGGTGAACCTGGGGGTGCAAGCAAGGGCTCTGGGAAAGAGAGAGATGAAGTAACATTTCCAAGATGAATGTTTGATGCCGCATAGCATTTTGTAGATTAATGGACCACCCCCTCCCCCCGCCATAAACCCTCCAGGGAAGGGAAATGGGGAGAGGGGGAGGAAAATGCTTTTTTCTCATCCCCCACAACCTGCGAGCACACCTGAGATGAACGGCACAAGGTGTGGCAGATGTCACAACTGGAGCTGGGAGTGGCTGCCCTTATAAGTGAGCTGGGGAAGGTTTGGGAGCTTAGAATGCAGGGGCCCCAGGAGGGAGGCGGGGCCAACATGAAGGCGGGGCCAACATGAAGGCTGGGCCAAGTCAGGTGACTGCAGCCAAGAATGCTGGGAAAATCCCCTTTGGGGCAGGAAGAGCATCAGAGTTGTCAGGGGCAACAGCTCGGTCTGGATTCCCTCCACCCACTCCTAGCTGCAGAGTGTCCGCCAGCAAGGAAGGGGGAGCTGGGCATGGCCTCCCCCTCCGGAGGGGCCCTGGCACAGGGGTGGGGGCACCCTGGACCCTGGCAGACTTGGCATGGCTACTCACAGCGAGTTCAGGGAGCGGAGGCCCTGGAAGGCGTCGGGCGCGATCTCTGCGATCTGGTTGTTGCTCAGGTCTCTACAAGGTGAGCAGGAGAGAAGCCTGCTGAATCCCCCGGCAGCTACAGAGCCCTGCTTGGCCCCTCCTCCCAGATGCCACAGGAGGGCAGGCATTTCTAGAAAACTGAGGGGCCAGTTCTCCCATCCCCCTGAAAAGCCCCCGGCCATGTTTCCCTGTGCAGTCTGAGGCTCGTGCTCAGGCCGGCAGTCCAGCCTTGGTCCGTTCTTGAGGAAGCCTTACCCCGCAGCTCAGCTGTCCCCTACACCCCCCTCTCACGTCCGCAATTGCTCCCAGGAGTGCCCCGACCGAGATGGAGGATGACAGTCAGCTCTGGTCATGTGCCAGACTCAGGCTCAACACCGCACGTGGGCCTCACGCTAACTGTGAGAGGTCACACCGCCGCCAGGCACACGTCACAGATAAACCTGCCCCACGGCAGTGACATGCCTGTTCCAGGCCCTTCCCCCTGCCCCATGCTGACTCCCAGGAAGCGGCGGGAGACACTCACATCCTCCGCAGCTTTCTGTAGGGAGAGAAGGCTCCTGGGGGGATGGACTTGATCCCATTGAGCTCCAGGCGGCTGCAGAGAGAGAACACAGAAGCAGCTGGGTCCTGACTGCTGCCCCCCAAACCAGGCCCTTTGCCCCTGCTCCCAGCCTCCGTCTGGAATAGGTAGGCTGGCACTGGCACAGGAAGGGAGCTGCTGTATTCGAGCCCCATTACCCCAGGTTTTTGTGGCCGAAAGGAGCCCACAAATCAGGCTACTACTAAGAAACCAACTCCAGCAGACTCACCCCGCTGGGCTGGACAAAAGGACCACAGAGGGACACCCTCCCAAGTCTCTAGACCTGCCCAGCTTTGGGTAGAGGGCTCAGGCCAGCCGAGGCCGGCCGTCTCTCCTCCATTTGCACGGAGGGGCCTCGGGTGAGCCCTTCACTGGACCACCAGAGCCTGGCCCGGCCCAAGGGCCCGCGGCCCAGCATCGGCCCTGGCCCATACTCACATCTCCGTCATGGTGTCAGGCAGGTTGGCAGGGATGGCCGTGAGGCCTTTGCCACGACAGTCCACAATGCCATTGCTGCAGGTGCATATGGCGGGGCAGGAGCCGGAGGAGAGGGTGCAGGAAGGCACGCGGCCCGCCTCCCCTTGGCCTGAGAAAACAGGGGGCTGTGACCTGGGGTGTCACAAGCTAGCACCTCCCACCCCAGATACAGCATCACGGGTGGGGACAGGGTAGATAGTATTTCTCTGAATACAGATGAACCAGAGGAGATCACCGAGGACTACCATGTAACTCTGTGGGCGCCCAGCACATAGCACGCGCTTGATAGATATTTGCTGAACTTGAATCTGAACCTAACTCGGCTGCATGAGAGTGTGATTCACACACTAGGAAATCCTGGCCTAAATTCTAAAGCTCCAGGTTCTAGTCCATGTCACTCAACACTTTTGAGCCTGAATCTCCTCATGGGTCACCGGAGAATGACAAGGACTATGTTTATCGGGTACTCACTCTGGGCCACATGCTGTGGGAAGGGTTATACATGCAGTATCTCACTTAACCTACGGGGGTGTGATGTTCTTGTGGCCATTTTACAGGTGAGAAAACTGAGTCCTTGATATTATTTAATTTGTGGAAAATCACACAGCTAGTAGGTGGTAAAACCAGGATAAAGTGTAGTGGCCGATATAAATTTGTTAAATTGAAGAAGAACATACAGGCGCACCATCTTAAGTGTATAGCTGGGTTCGTGGGTACACCCACAGAACCGTCCCCAGACATAGAACATTTCTGTCACCCAAGAGGGCTCCCTCATGCCCCTTCTCCGAGGCAGCCGCTATTCTGAGATCTATCACCAAAGATTTGTTCTGCTGATTTGTGGACTTCACATAAATGAAATCAGACAGCAGGTCCTCTTGTGTCTGGCTTCTTCCGCTCAGTACAAAAGCTTTGAGATTCACCCACACTGTTGTGTACATCAGCAGCTTGCTCTCTGTCACTGCCCAGCAGTATTCTACTGTATGGACAGATCATAATTAGTTTATCCATTCCCCTGCTGGTGGACTCTTGGGCTGTCTCCAACCCTGGGCTACTATGAAAAAAACCTGTCTTGAATATTCTCGGACGTGGTTTTTTCCGAGGGGTGAGAACAGGAGATCATAGATGGGGCAGGAGGGGGAAGTGGGGGGGGACAGGAGGTGATGGGTGAGGACCGGAGATGTGGGCGGTCCAGGGGATGGTGGATAAGGACAGGAGGTGATGGGCGAAGAGAGGAGGTCACGGGCGGGCCAGATGTTAGTGCATGGTGACAGGAGGTCATGGGAGGGAACAAGATGCAGGGGTGGGGCGGGGGGAGCAGAAGGCAGGTGATGGGCAGTCTAGAGCCCCGGCAGGGCCTGCACCCACCTGAGCAGCTGAACTCACTCTTCTGGACCTCGGCCACATTGAGGCCACGCAGGCTGGCGGGGCCCGAGCACTGGGTGAAGAGCCCGATGGTTGGCCTCTGCCTGAGCCACTGTGAGAGCCAGGCCAGGTGACAGTCGCAGAACAGGTGATTGGAGTGCAGGCGGCTGCGGGGGGAGAGGGCAGCTCACAACCCACCCACCTGGGCCCCCAGCCCCAGCGCGATAGTGGGAACCCCCCCTTACCAGGGTAGCGGGCCAAGCCTCCGGTGCTCCACGCAGCCCCAGAGTCGGAGCTCAGGACACTCCCGGCGGCCGCCCCCCACCCTCCCAGCTCGCGCGGGGCAGTCACTGGCCGGAGTGTGACCAGCAAATGATTCATCCCACTGAGCCCACACGGACCCGCTGCCCCAAAGCCCATCACTCATTTTTAAACACAAAAACAAATCACTTGTTTTCTGCGGAAAAATCAAATATAAATGACATTCAATATCCTTCCATTTTGGGTCACTTCCCTCCCCCCTTGGACTCCGACACCACCACCCTGAGTGGATGACCACTGAGAATGCAAAGAAGAAGAAGGAGCTCTTTCTCCCGCCCGTGGACGCCTTTAGCCCCTTCCCCACCACCCCCGGCGCCAGCCCCCACTTGGCCACTGGGCCCCTGGCTACCCCTGGGCCGACTCACAAGGTCCGCAGCTTGGGCATGTGGTTGAAGCTGGACACGGGGATGGTGGTGATATTGTTGTTGTTCAGGGTCCTGGGCAGGGGAAACCAGAGTCACAGGGCGTCTGTGCAGTAGGCAGGTACACTGGAAGGAGGGCACGGGGCTTCTCTCTGACACGCACTCAGACTCTCACACCCAGATCCACGGTCCCCCTTCCAGGGGAGCCGGGACTGGGCTGGATCCTGGAGAACACGCCCACTGAAGAGCAGGAGACACAGAGCTACCCTCAGGGAAACCCCTGAGCTGGGACGGAGGTGATAAGGCAGGTGCCACAGACTGGGACAGGAGGTAGAGCAAGAGGACCCGTGGGCTCGAGCTGGTTGGGAAGTAAGTGCGGGGTTTCACAGAGGGAGACGGGGAGGCATTCCCGCCTCATGTGTCAGAAAGTCCTGGAAGCCACAGATACTGCCCTGGGCTTCATCGTGCGCAGGGTAAGCCTGGGTCAGGCGCTGCAGGCACGACCCTACGAGCAGGTGTCCCCCCACCCTGGGTGGCGAGTCCAGGAGAGCAGAGAGCATGGCCTCTGCCCTGGGCCTAGCGCCGCGTCCCGGGGGCGCTCCCGCCTCCTGTGCTGCTCCCAGCCTGACCCCGGCTGCCTGGGCCGAGCTCCCACGTTCCCAGGCTCTCCAGCCTCTCCAGCCTCTGATGCCCTTCCCATGCTCCACTTACAGCACCTCCAGCCCCCGCAGAGCCCGGAAGGCCCCTTCCTCGATGCAGCTGATCTGGTTCTTGTCCAGCTGTCTGTGAAGCAAAAGAAAGCTGTGCAGGAAGCAATGTTGCCTAGAGCAGCAGCGTCCAGATGTTTTGATCAAGCGCTCCATTAGTTTAAAACAAAGAGGCCTGGCCCCAATCTTTTGTTCAGTATATACGTGTCGATCCAAACAGCAAATACTAACAAAAGCTTATGTTCTTTCTTATTTCGTTAAAACAATAAATACAAATAAAAGTTATATTCTATTCCTCCACCTAACTTTGCATGTCCTCCGGGGACCGGGCACCTGCCCCCCCCACTTTGGAGACCAGCTGGAGGGTGCTGGCAACTGGAAGACGAAACAGCCTCTCCCAAGGGCAGCGGCAGCGAGAGCTCACACACAGATTTCACCCCGAGGGCCCAGTGAGACTGACAAGCTGTGGCCACCTGGAATGCTGCTTTTGGAATAAACTGAAGCTGTGATTGGGGTCCCTTGGGAAAGAAGGCAGTGCCCCATTGTCTACTACAGACTTGGGGTCAGGGAGTGACAGGCATGCCGGGCATTTGTCATTCCTGCCGCAGTCTGAGCTCGGGGAGGTGACAAGCCTGGACCAGAATAAATGTGAATAATAGGAAGAAACCATTACATTTAAATAGCACTTGACAAAGCATATTTATTTCCATGTCTCATTTGAACTTCAGAACAAGTCTGATGGTCCCTATTTTACAGAATATACTGAAGCTCAGTGAAGTTAACTGACTTGCGGCCACTTCCACAGTATGTACCTGGAAGAGAAGACTCACACCCAGCTCTCTCAATCTACTGAAGGGCAAGAGCATGCAGACTGGGCCATTTAAATGGACCATGAACCTCACCTAAGCACCCACAATTCATGACACTCCCTTCTACCCAGTCCCCAAAGGCCACCTGTTTCCTTCGACCCCAGACTGTTCCAGAAGACCACGCTGGCCCCAGCCATCTCAGAGCCCACACCAGCTCCTTGGTTGCCTGGGCCACAGGGCTCAGGGAGATGCACAAGGATACTGCAAGGGGTGGCCCTCCAGCCCCTGCACCCTTCTCCCTCCCAGGCCTGGACTCACAAATTTTTGAGGTCTGTAGCTCCACGAAAAGCTTTTCTGGGGATGGCCTGGATTGTGTTCTCACTTAGGTCCCTGAGAGGATAAAGCCAGAGGGAGAAAAACACTGATCAGAAGAGATTTCTCCAGAGTGCCCCGATGAGTAAGGGAGGGCGGGATGGCCAGATGGTGCTCCAGCATCCGGGAGAGTGCCTGGCACCCAAAGTCCTGCTCAGTGAGCATCTGTTGAAGGAATGAAGGAAGGAGTGAATGATGGAGCTGGAGAGAGGTACCCTGCCCTGGAGGGGACTTTGTCCCCAACCACCTCCCCTCTCTACGCAGAGGGGGTTGCAGCCGGAGGGACGAGCCTGGGGCAGCAGTGACCGATTCTGCCAGACCCCAACCCTGCCCACAGACCTCCAGAGGTCAGCTCCGCCCCCAGGGCATCCTCCAGGGCTGCAAAGGAACAAGCAAAGGAGGGGCTTCTCGATGAGCCCACAGCCACCCTGGGACCTGTGCTAAGTTCACCCAAGACTCACTCTGTTTTACTGATAAGGAATAAGGGCTCAGGAGGAGGTGCCACCGGTAACCCGGCCCGTATGTGGCACAGTCAGGTCACGGAATCCAGGCTGGGTCTGACTCCAGATGCCGTGCTCTCAGGCCTGCTGTCAGCAGAGCCGCCTCCAGGAGCCTAGCCCACACCGGAGGCTGCCCCATGCAGCCTGTTTCCCATGCTGGCCGGGGTCCACAGGGCTGCATCGCTGCCCTGCAGCCTGGATGGCAGATGTCACTGTCTCCCCATTATTAATATCCTTCTGTGAGGGAGGAGGAGTTGCAGGGACACTGCGAATCCCTGGCCTCTGCAAGCCCCAGGCCAGCTTCTGGACGCATCCTCTGGCTCCACTGGCAGATAGGGCCTCAGGCACCTGCCCACCAGCCTCTCCCTTCCTCTCTCAGAATCCTTGCTACAGACTTTTACAAATGCCCTATCCGGGGCAGCTTTTCCTTGCCACAGTGGTGGCATCAACTGCCACCATGTTCCAAGAGTGTCCCCGAGGCCAGCACTGCCTAGCACGTCACGTATGTGAACTCACTTGACCCTGGCACTAACCATGGGGCAAACACTATTACTGTCCCCCTCTACCGAAGGGTAAGAGGGAGGCTCAGACCAAGTCAAGGGAACACAGCTGGTGAGCGGTGGCTCCAGAATCCAAGCCCGGACAGTGAAGGTCCCAGAGCTACCCCTTTGCATGGCAGCCCTAGGAGCAGGAACCAGAAGCAGGAGGAGGGATGTCTTCCCTTATTCTGCACAGGAGGGAACCGAGCTCCAAGAAGTGAAGCAATCTGCCCAAGGTTAAAGCAAGATGGGGACCCAGGCGAGCCCTATATCAGATGTGCCCTCAGGGTCCTTAACCTGGACAGCCAGGGGCTGACTGTCCTGACGTGGGATCCAGTGCTGGGCAGTTCCACAGACCCCCAGCTCCTTCTGGGCCAGGCCCACAGGGCTTTGACCATGTCCTTCCTTTCAGCCTGTCACCCGACAGGCCTTCGGGTTCACTGCCAGCCCCAAGAACATGGCCCACAGGGCCCTCCAGCACACAGCCCCTGGGGGCCCCCACCCCAACTCCACACTGCCTGCCGAGCTGCTTTCCCCTTTCTCTGCGATTCCCAGCAGCCCCTCCGTCTTGAGAGGACAGGAGAGCACTTGAGCCTTTACTTATCTGCTAATCCTGTTGTCCCCTCTTCCTTGCCTGGAGAGAGCCCCTTGGTGGCTCCCCCGTCCCCTGCCCAGCTTCCGTCATGCAGGTAATTGCCGCCGTGAAGGTACATCCTGTACTGGCCTGGCCCTACCGTCCCCCTGGCCTATGACCTTGATCTCTCCCCCTTCTTTTTTTTTTTTTTTTTTTTTAAGATTTTATTTATTTATTCATGAGAGACAGAGAGAGAGAGAGAAAGAGAGAGAGAGAAGCAGGCTCCCAAGGAGCAGGGAGCCCGATGTGGGACTCGATCCCAGGACACTGGGATCATGACCTGAGCCGAAGGCAGACGCTTAACCATCTGAGCCCCCCAGGCGCCCAATCTCTCCCCCTTCTTAAGTAGACCCTGGCACTGGGTAGGTCGGACAGGCAAACCGCTGACTTGGGAGAAGGCTGTGCGGGCCACACAGGTAAACCAGAGACGCCGGCTGGCAGGGGCTGGGAGCGGCTCCTGGGGCTCACGGTTCCCGGTGGTTCTCTCCTCACGCTCTCTGTGAGAAGGCAGCCGCCGTGTCACTCTGGAGAGACCCGCACGGAGAGAACCGGCTTCCAGCAATGTCCGTCAGGCACCAAGGAAACAGATTCCCCGGCCCCCGTCAAGCTCCCGGACTCTGTGTTAACGTGCCCCCCGAATTCAGACACGGAAATCCTGACGCCCAGTGTGACAGTGTTGGGAAGCGGGGCCTCGGGGAGTGCGTAGGTCCTGAAGGTGGAGCCCCTGAGAACGAGAGGTCTGAGATGCGAGGACACAGCGATGAGCCAGAAGTGGGGCCTCACCAAACACCAGTCAGCCGGCACCATGACCCTGGACCCAACCTCCAGAATGGTGAGGAACAAATACTGTTTGTTTATAAACCACTCAATTTATGGTATTTCTGTTACAGTAGCCAGAACTGACTAACGCAGCCCCAGCCAACGTCTTGACTGCAATCTCATTCAAGACCACCCAGCCACCTTCCAGAAACTGGGAGACAATACATGTTTGTTGTTCTTTTCAGCCACTGTGTTTCAGGGTTCAACAGTCAATGACTAAAACAGGGCTGCTTTTGGGGAATGGGCTAAGAGAGAGGCTTGGAGGCCATGCTAGAGAGCGTGCTCTGACTCTGAAGGGACGAGGGCCCCTGAGAGCCTCTGAGGAAGGCAGGGTCATGCTCAGATTTGACATGAATGAGCTGAAATATGTTCACGATGTGGCCCCATCACTTTGCACTTTGGGCCTCAGTTTCCTCGTTTGTCAAATGCGCAGTCTGAACTAGATGATTTCCTCCTCTCCCCCCGCCCCAACACAGTCCCACCACACGCCGACTACTCCCAGACACGGCAAGCCACACTGCTCCAACACAGCAAGCTTGGGTCCTGGGGTATCTGAGATCCCAGGGGCAGGTGAGGGACGGGGGGAGCCCGTCACTGACAGCACACTTCCTGAGAAAGGCAGGATAAGAGAAGACAGACACAGCCATCCGCCTTTTCCTCCCCACAGGGAACCAGGGAGAACAAAGCATGGATGGTGAGGGCAAGACAAGGGTTAAGGAGGGGCAGGGGCCTGGAGACTTCTACAGAGTCAGGAAGAAACAGAGGGTGCACAGGAGGTGGGGACCTCCAGCGGGACAGTCATCTCAGCCCCAGCTGGCAATCTACCCTTCAGCTAAGCCTGGGAGGGAACTCTGGGCCAGCCACTCACATCCATTATTCTGTTGAATCCCCACCACCACCCTGCAAGGAAGGTTTTTTATTTGTATCGATTAGTTTATTGATTTAAGCCAACCTTGTTCCAGAAAGGCTTTAAGGTGGCTTATAGGGATTTACAAAATAGCAAGAGAGCAAGAGTGAAAAGTGGGGCAAAGAGAAGAAAAATCAATAGCAGATACCAAGAACAAGGCACGATGTCACCCACACACCTGCCAGGTCCAGGGCAGAGCATGGGCTCTGGGTTTTCTGAGAGCTGATGGAAAAGGGGGAGAGTGGTCCCTTAACAGCATCCCCAATATACATATAATTTCAAAAGGACCTGTTTGTCAGGAGAATAGCTGTTTGGGGTACTAAGATGAGACAAGAATTCTCCAGGGATCCTTATAGAAAATGAGAGTGTGGCCTAATCAATAATACTAGACCCTTATAATAAATGGGTTTCAAGTGTCTGGTTCTTATAATAGTATTGCATCAAAGTGCAATGCAGGAAATGCAATTCTATAAGGACTCACACCAGGAGCTAAGTGGGGAAGGAAGGGGCAGAAATAGTCCGTGCAAAGGCAGGAGGTGCAATAGAGCCCGGCACTACTCGGGAGTAGTTAGGTTTGCCTGGAGCAGAAAGTGCCGGGAATGTGTCTGCAGGAAAAAGCCTTTGCAGGCCAGAGAAGGTGACCGGTTACACCAGAGAGGCATTTGATCTGATGGCCTTTAGACATTGCTCAGGAGCACCAAAGCTTACAGAGGAAAGATGCTGCCCCCAGGGCAGGCAGGAGAGGCGACACCGAGAGCCCATCCAGGAGGTGAGGGTCCAGGGGTGGGTGTGGAGCCACCCGGGGCCAGCCCACAGGAGCGAGCCACTCACGCGGGTAAAATGAGGCAAGGAAAGGGAACTTAAGACCCTGGAAGAGGCCAGCCTCTAGACCAGAGGAAAGGGTGGGCCTCGGAAGCCTGAGGAAAAGGCAGTATGCCTGCGGTACAAGAGGTGCTGGAAAGAGCTTGAACTCTGCGAGGAGAGGATCCAGGTTCGAAGCCTGCTGCTAGCATTTATCAGCCAGGCCCCCGGAAGGTATGCACCTGAGCGCTTCGATGTCCCTGATTATAAAATGGAGATAAAAATACCTACCACACGGGTTTGGAGAAGATGAGTTCTTGTGCTTGAGCTTCTGTCCTAGGACCTCCATGGCAATATTTAAGAGAGCAAGCTTCTGTCCCTCCTCAAACACAGCGGGCCAGTCCCTTTCCTAAGGGTCTGACTGTTGTCTCCAGTACGCTCACTAGGGGGCACCAGAAGCCTGCCCTGGGCTCCGAGGCCTCCGCCACCGCACAGACCCAAACAAAGCTATTCTCATTTTTTTGCCCCAGTTGACCTCCTATCTGGTCAACAACTGTCTTGTCTTTCCCAAACCTCTTTGCAGTAATGTTTCTCACCTCCATTTTCCCCAGGCTGGCATGCAATACCAAAAGGCACCACCTACATCTTGTAATTCTGCTCTTTCCTCATCCCTTGGTGGCCTTGTCACAGGCCCTGAAGGGAGCGTGGCCTAGGGTCGGGCGGGCAGAATGAGATACACTGAGGCGGGGAGGGTGCTGGAGCTGGAGAGATAAACCCAAAGTGGGAGCCGTTGGTGGCCTGACCCTGGCCAGGGGAAA